GGGGCCTACGAGGCAGGGAGCAAGCTGCCGGTCGGAGATAGCTACAGATTTTAAGCTTTTTGTTTTTAGCATTTATAAAGATGCCAACACCCCCTTGTTTTACAGTAATTTGTCACATTTACCTGTAAAGTTGAAAAAAAAAATTTAAGCTAGATTCCTGGACGTGGGATATTCGAACTTCTGGCATGAATGTTTTAGGGTGTCCTGGAGAGATTTATCAACTTGTACTTTCATCGACGGCACCTGGGAGTTTTTGTTTTCTTGAGTCTCTGTCATCATTACATAATTATCACTCCTTTAAAGATCCCTGTTTACTTTTGTAAGTGGGGAAAAAAGTAACTTGCAGTTCTTTGACTAGTTTGAAGGATGACTTTTTATCTAGATTTATTATTACTATAACCTAGTATTTCTGTGAATAGCTTCTTCACATTCTCATACTTATTTCTGGGATATTAGTTTTTTCTCATCAGATTGCACTGAAAAGTAGGAATAATAATTCTTTGCCAGGGGCCGGGGATTTAGCTCAGCTGCACAGCACCTGCCTGGCAAGCACGAGTTTGATTCCTGGTACCAAATAAAAAAAAAAAATTCTTTGCCAGTTGTTGAAGCCAGTGTTTTATGGTTTGATTCTTTGTAATAATCTTTCTCACTACCTTTTGGATGAAAAGAAAAAATTCAGCTTGCTATAAGAACAGAAAATGAATCAAGGATTTTGTCTTTTTAAAAGACCACGTGTACATAGGAACTGCTACGTAACGTTTTCCCTCCAAGGCCCTCAAAATAACAAATGCCCTTTAGGACTTTTTAAGAGAGCTCCCTCTGTTGCTAGTCTGCGTAAGCACTCAATGATCATCTTGTTAATTCTAAATTAATAAGACCATTAAATATTACATAATCTAATACCATGATATTCTTTACAGAAAAATAGATGTCTTCTGGTAGACTCTATTCCTTTGGGTTTGAAACTGTGTTAGCTTGGGGCAAGGGAATGAAGTGAATCCATCTAAAAATATTCCTAAATCTTTCTGAGCAGCAAAAAGAAAAAATAAGCTTTCAAGTGCTTCAGCCACCAGGAGGAAAAGTTGAGAGGATGAAAGCTTAGAGTCTGATCTGGATGAAATACTCAGGTGAGGCAAGGCAAACACAGTTACGTAACTGTTAGCCAGGGAAAGGATAAGTAGAGGGGCAGTGAGCCCACTTTGCCCAACCTGCAGAACAAAAATCTATCATGCCTCTGCTTTCAGTCTTAAACAGAAACCTGGGAAAATGATTCCACTTAACTTGAGGCATTCGTAGATAAATGGATGTGTCTTGAGAGCATGTGAAACATCATGTGGTTACTCTTTTTTTTTTTTTTTAACATGGTTACTCTTCTATAAGAAACTCACAAAATGAGTAAAGAACAAAGTAAATGATAGTAGGAACTAAGGAGATCTTTTCCAAATGGGAAGGGGCACAAGAGATGGGGGTGACTAACAGGGCTGGAAAAGAATTAAAGAACAAAATAGAAATATTTGCTTTTGCAAATGGGAAGGGGACCAAGACATGGAAGGAGCAGAGAGGGAGGGGCAGGGTAGGGGATATTTCATGCACATCGCAATTCTCCATGATAAATGTAATCGTTATGTATTGCAAAGATGTACTAATAAAAAATAAATATAAATCAGATAGAAACCTACAAAGGCAGATTTAAAGTACGCTATACATTTAAACACTTTTAAGATTGTCTTTATAAACAATGAAATTCTTTGGTTTGAAAAAGAATGATCATTAAATATGTAATGTTTTAAAAACTAATCTACTTACCATCATACTGCAAAAATCCATTTTTATCTTTCTCTATCTCAGACTCTGGCTGGAAAAATAATAAAGAACTCATCAAAACCGATGATGGGGCAAAAATAATGCATTTACAGAACAAGGGGATAAATGTTTCGATGAAGATGAAAGATTAGTGCTGACAGATGGCGCCATCTAGTGGCTAAGTGACACTCTTGTTACCAAGCCTGCCTTAAGTACAAATGGCATACCACTCAGCAAAGGCTTTTCAGATGCAATTAAACATTTTTGTGCTGAACACGTTATCTAAGAAGTTTTATCAGTACCTTAAAGAAGTCATCCTGAGATATGAGGCTGCAGTTTGGGAGGTGTTTCTGCAAATTCTTAGCCAGGGTTGTCTTTCCACCGTTTGTCACACTGTCCTCCAAAGGAAAAAATGGAAATAATGTATGAAAAAACAAGAAACATTTAAAAACCATTTTTTGAAAGGATATTCAAAACACTATTTTCTGCTTAAGAATAAATAATTTCCTTCATAGATTCTGCCTTTCCTATTGGTAAGACCACAGGCACTGGCAGATAAAATGTACTAAATGGTAAGAACAAGCTGGGATCAAAAGAGAAAGGAACTAACTACGGGTAAGTGAACTGGGTACTAAGACTTCAAAATACAAATAGCACATCAGAAGCAAAATAATTACTAGTCTAGGGCAAAGCATCTGAGAATTCATACGCAACACAGTCCTTTTCCATGTGAGTATGCAGAACTGCTGATGGTCACTTCTGTCTCAATAATTACACAGTGGTAAAAACAGAGTTAGTGGTTGCTACAGTCCTTCCCATCAGGAATTCCCATTTCCTGGGTAAGGCTGTACTCACACACATGTGCACACACACACATGCACACACACACACCTGCTCTGCACCTTCTAGTCTGCTTACCACATCAGGTCAGCTATCAGTCCCCCACTGGACTGTGCCCTCGGGAACAAGCATCCGATTCGCACCTCTGTTTGTCCTGTTTTCCAGCACCGGCACCCACACGGCCCATGGGACTTGTACTTCTCTATTCAGTCTTTTATTCAAAGAAGTGTTAACCTGGACTCCTCCCAATGGGCCGTAGCAGCGTTCAAGGTGTTTGTGAACTTGAATGGGAAAGAAGCTACATCTTTATTTTTGCTAAACTGTAACAGAAATGTATTATTTCTTTGAATTATAAATATAAATAATAAGCTATAGTAGTTGTCTTGGTTACTTTTCTCTCGTTG